GACTTCATGGACTGTGTGCGTGCGCATGCACATGCATGTGTCTGTTTTACACTATAGTCCAGAGGTGGTCAGTTGCCCTGATGAGGAAAACACTTTCCAGCTAACATTTAACATTAACTCAGAGGCCGCACTCAAAGTCATCTCCTGCGTGGGCTTCTAACTTGGATGACCCCAGGTTTTGTTAACCTATGAGAACTGTAAGAACTCTTGGCACATAGCAACTCTGCCCAAACCCCTGCAAAAAGAGACTTGGCCAAGCTTTGACACGGCCTCTAGCAGCCCAAAGCTGCATCCTTGGGATGATAACCCAGCCATCTTTTGCCTTTCAGGTTCCTGTCTGGAAAAGTTCAGGGCTGTCAGAAGAAATTTACTGTTTGTCCTAGACAACGCATGAGGTGGGCCTCCATTTCTCTGAGCATTTATCCAAAGAGGCTTGCAATTTCAAGTCTGTCCCCATCTCTTTGACAGACACTAAATCTATTTCCTACAATGCAGGAGTGTCTTTCTCAAGGACCCAAAAGCCATTCCTCTGAAATGTAATCAAGAGGACAGGACCTCTCTTCCAGTCTCTGTGGAAGGGGAGAATCCTAACTTGCCAGCCAGCAGACACAGCTGACCTAGCAACATGCACACTGAACAATGCTTTGTAACTTTGCACTTCCGAACGCAACTTGGGCCTCCACTGGCTTGCCCTCCCTCATTCTCTACTCCCTCATGCTCTCTTTAAAACTCTCAGTCACCATCATGCAAACAGAAATGGAGCTAGGCTTTTCCCCCTACTGTCAGTGGCTACTGAGCAAAATCTGTTTTCAATGCTTCAACCAATGCCTGGCTTTATTTATCTTTGACAGTGGATAGTCCCAGGTGGCATTTGTAGCTTTGGTAATTAACATAACAGACATTAGAAGTAGACTTTCATTGGGGAAAATCTCAGTGATCAAGTAATATAAGCCAGCACAAAATACCTTGGCCTGGGCATTCCTACCCTTACATGAGCTGGCTATAAGGGCAGAGCAAGTCTTCACTTTTCACTATTGACTCAATCCATCCACGTGGCCCCACTGGCCTGGCAGTCTCAGCCAAGTTCTACCAACTAACAGAATGTTGGTCCATCTGCGTCAGGTCAACATGCAAGTTGTGTGTCTGTGCACCAAGAGGGGCAAAGAACTGGAACTTAATGAAGTCTCAGAACAAACTGTTGCTTGCTAATTATGTCTGCATATATGGCAGAATTTGGTCTGAGACTTGCTTTCTTTATAACCTGGAGCAGGTGATGAGGAAGAAGCTAAATTTTATCCATCCATAACTACTGGCAACCACCAATATCTAACAAAACAGTATTAATAATGTGTATTCAAAACTGACTTAGGTCCAGCCCTGGCCGGGCAGCTCAACTGGTTGGATCATTGTCCTGTATACCAGAAAGTGGAGAGTTCAATCCCCAATCACAGCACATACCTAGGTCACGGGTTTGATCTCTGGTGGAGGCATGTTAGGGAGGCAATAGATCAATGTTTTTCACATTGATGTTTCTCTCTCTCTCTCTCCCCCTCTTGCTCTAAAACCAGTAAGGATATTCTCAGGGGAGGGTTTAAAAAACATTTTAAAAAATGACTTATGTCCACTGTAAGCAACAATAGCGAGCAAGTGTTATTATCATTTACTCACACTGTAAGAAGAATGATCAGATAGTAGTCAAGTGCCCCAACTCGAGTCAGTGGACCAGTGTTCAAGGCTTAGCTCCCCCACCAAAAATCAGTTCACTTATCTGCCTGTACTTCAGTTGCCTCACCTGCAAAAGGAGGCCAATGGAACATCACACACCCCAGAGTCCTGGCTGAGTAGCTCAGTTGGTTAGAGCGTCATCCTGATCTGCCAAGGTTGTGGTTTTGATCCCCAATCAAGTCACATATAAGAATCAACCAATGAATGGATACCTAAGTGGAACAACAAACTGGGTATTTCTCTTTCTCCCTTCCTCTCTAAAATCAATTTAAAAAAAAAAGAAAGAAAGAAAATTACCCACGCCACAGGGTTGCGGTGAAGAATGAATGATACGATGGAGATAAAAACAGACAGCACATGCAGGCATGAAATAAGTTTAAGCCATTATTCTTATTATCGTTACTACTTACACTTGCCTGGAGCAAAACCTGCCAAGCCATATTCTTGAATTGCCTCAGAAGGACTGTCTAGATTTTATCATACCTTAATTCCCCACTGACCGTATGTATTGTCATTTTTTGTTGCTAGCTTTCGGTGTGTATCAGTCCGTGCAAAAATAAAATAAGAAGAAAAAATAAATTAAATAAGATGACCTGAAGACTATCCAGGTACAGATGGATAATGGCCACTAAGATTTGGGGAGTTCCTTACTCTGTGCCAAACCCTGTACTGGAGATTGTCTGTTATTACATGCACTCTTCATAGCCATAGGAAGCATTATCACACTCATTCTACAGCTGAGAAAAACTGAGGTTAACAGAGAGTAACATGTGCAGTTACACCAACCCTTGTCCAGATTTCCCATATCAAACCACGTCTGTGGGTCCCAAGTCCAGGCCGTCTTCTGGGTTACCCACTGTTCCCGATGGTCTGCAAAGTCCCCCAAATTTCTATCTCCAAACTCAAATTTCTCCCAATTTAAATATCCAACTAGTGACTTGGATTTAATTTTTAATCATCATCTCAAATGTAGCAGAGCCAAAAGAAAACTAAGGGTTTTCCTTGCCAAATGTCCTCTTCCCCACCAGCCTCCTACATTACCTCCACAAATGGCACCATCACCTATCCAGTAGCTCAGGCCAAAAACAGAATTTCCTTCCCACACCCTGCAACTGGAATGACCGCTGTGGGGAGAAACGCTTATCTGGCTCACTGCCATATCTCCAGCTCCTGGCACGCAGTTGGTGCTGCCCTATTGTGATATAAAAAGAAATTATATTTGATCTTCATCCCCCATATGGGGGGCACAGGACTTTGTGAATGGCAGCTGAAATGGGGGCAGGGGAGTGGAAGAGTCTGTGGGACTAAGTCCTTAAACTGAGGAAAACTACTCCTAACTCCAGGAATAGTATGGAGTTAGTTTGGTTGGTGTCAGAACTGAAATGGATTGCTGGACATTCAGTTGGCGTCCAGAGTTGGGTAATTGGTTGGCTGGGGTACAGGGGTGGTAGCTCATACATGTGATGTCAGAAGTGCTGTGAGTAATGAACAGTTCGTAGGTGCTCAAGCAAACAAGACTCAGATGGCTTCTGCTGGTCTCTTGAGTTTTTAATGCAAGCTTATGGGCCCCTCCATATCCAGTCATAGTGTCATCACCCACTCATTGCCTTGAGACCCGCCACAGCGATGTCTCAAGCAATTCCAGAAAGCAGAAGTTACATTTTCTGTGATGAATAGCTAGGATTGGGTTCTTTCCAAAGTCCAGAGAGGGGGGTTTTAGAAACAAGTCATTAAATCCTACCAAAATATCAGCTGTACCAGTAATTCTTTTACAAGACCCACTTGAGTACTGGTGATCATTTTCAGAGTCCTAAATTAGTTACTTGGAGTGACAGAAAACCTCAAGGGGCTTTCAAAGAATTGGAGGAGATGACCCAAAATATCTGTATTGTAATTACTATTAATGAAAAGTGCTGCATCGAATTAAAAAGTATCTCAAAACAACAATAAAATATTTGCAAAACTTTCTTTAGATTCAGAACATTCAGGAAGTAACTTTTCCAGGTCCCTGTTGGTCTTCCGAGCCCTGGAAGGGTAGGGGGCATCCTCTCTTTTTGCCTGATTCAGGTCAAGTTAAAAACCTCAATTTCCTCATCTCTGAAAAGGCCAGACTGAATGCCTGCCAAGTACAGGATGAGATCTCAAACACCAAGTGGTAACTCCAAGTGGCCACTCCAAGGAGGTCGGATTATCTGCCGATTACCTGCCAGTACAATCGCAAAGTTTCAGAAACCCCTAACAATTTAACCTCTACATCATTTAGGAGCTGGTCTCAGTTGTCAAACGTTGACTGTATTAGGCAGCAAGAATATCTCTGATCCCGAATGCCCCCGGAGTTGAAATTCATTTGTCAGAACACATCATGCTGATAATTAGTACAACAGGGAGGAAGGTGGACGTCTGGAAGGCTTAATTTCGCTTTTTTCTAACCCTGCAAGGAGTGAGAAATTAGCATTAAAGGGTTAAATCTAATTCTGCCTTGACGCACTAGTCACCGGTAGAAGACGCCTACTCCTGATGTACATATATGTTTTAAGATACTACAAGTTTTAACAGGCGAGAGCTGCAAAATAGGTTCGGGCAGGTTCACTTTAAACCTGGGATACGGAGGCTCGCGCACTACCCAGACAGTTGAGTTTCTGCCCCTCGAGAGCTGGGTCGAGAAACGCAGGAAGTAGGGTTGTCTTCCCCACGCCCAGACCTGAGCACTGTAATTTGGAAACGCTTCGACACGTTCCCGAAGAGACAGAGCCAATGCTCTAGCCTTGTGAGATACCAAGCGCAACCTGCTTGGGCCACATGACCCGAGTTTTGTTCAGAGCATGGGAAAGAGGTGATGCCTAAACCCTCGTCTCTTCCTTGATTCAGTCGGTATGCAGAGCCGGGTGGGCTACGGAGCTCAGCACTACCCCTAGGGAAAAAATTCGTGCCCTAGGAGGAGATGACAGGCTCTAAGGATCTTCCGCTCAAGTCCTGCCCACCCTGCCCCAGCGAAATCCTGAAGGTCGGACGGGAAGACCTCGGGGTAGCCCTTCGGGCGTCCCCGCGTCCCTTCCCGTCCGCCCGCGGCACTGGATTTCCCCAATTGCCCAGCTCCGCGCTAGGGCCCGAGGCAGTAACGCAGACGGCGCGGGATCTGCCCCGAAAGACCCACCACCCGCACCACCTTCCACCGCGGAGCTGGGGAGCACACCCAGGGGAGCCCCAGTGGTGCCTGAGCTCCCGGACCCGTCGCCCTACCCGTCGCTCCTCGCGTGGCACCCAGCCTCGCTCACCTGGCCCGCACAGCACTGCGCTGACATCGCGGTGGCGGAGGACTGCAGGCGCGCTCTCCAGCTCCCAGCTCCCCTCCGACTCGCCTCGCTCCCCAAGGCCTCCAGCGCCCCTCCCCGCACCAGCTCAAATCTACAAGACAGGCAGCTCCAGCTGAGCGCCAGGTACTACCGCCTGGGCAAAAACAACCCGATCCAAAGCCCGCCCCACCGCCGCAGGCCCCGCCCCCAGCAGCCGCGCCCGCCCTCAGCCCCACCCCACGCTCGTCCCTTCAACCCGCCCGGGCGGCGGAGCAGGCTCCCCCTCGGCTAGTACTTCCGCTGGCGTCAGGCGGCCGTTGGCGGCCTTGGGCGGCGATCACTTCCCGGTGCGGCACTGGGCACCGAAGGCTGCGCAGTGAGAGGCTGGTCCGACTCTCCCCCGCTCCCGCACAGGCTTGTCTGTGCGCCCCCCTTTCCTAGCCCCCGCGAAAATGCTGGTTGTCGACTCCGAAAAGCTTGGAGCCTCTAGCGGAGCGTTTCTCCAGTGTCCTCTATTCAGCCGGCGCTGAGGGGACCTCCAGGTGCTGATCTGCGCTCTGTCTCGTACCTACAGGGATATCCACGGGATCCCTGTCCCATCTCTTTTCCTTCCACAGCTTCCAAGAAAGCTTACCAACTTTTGGGAAAGTCCCCTCTGCCCAAGCTTCCTCGGATCCCCAGGCACCAGGCTGTCCTGCCCTGATTTCCACTTTGGGGAATCCGGTGAGAGCTCTTTGCTCCTGTCCCTCGACATTAATCTATTTTCCAGCCTCTCCTCCCCTATCCACCTGAGAAAGCGTCCTGGCGCAGGGACTCAGTTTGCATCCCTGCTTCTTATCACCCGAACTCACTACAAATAGGGCCCCTAATAATTCATCGTTACACTCAGAAAGCAGAGAGGGTACCCGTAGTTTTTCTCCCTACACAAACATGATCTTAGAGCCACTTCCCCAAGAAGAGGAGTTTCTGATTAGAGGAACTTTGCCCCAATCCCTTTTGTTATTGGACTCCTTGAGTTTGCTGCTTGGAGTGTTTTCAAGAACTAGTCATGGTTGTGCTTAGCTAGTTTTATTTACTTGCAGCAAGTAGAGGAGACAGGGAATTAAAATCCAAAGCTCTGCTCTGTCTCCCCAAAGGGAGGCTCAACCATTGCGTATAAGCGCTGTTTGGTTAATTGCATGTTGATTTCTTCTTTGCAGTTGGTTACACTTATGGGGTTGGGTTCCTGTCTAGCTCATCCTGTTACAGCTGCTTCTGCAAAAATACTGTGCTATATTGTAACATTTAACAAGAATAGCATTCAGTAACGAACCACCCAGACCATGAGACCCTTATCCTCTCCAGCACTTTTAAAATCAGCATTACTGTATCCATTTTAGAAATAAGGCAACTGAAGCCCAGTCAGGTCAAATAACTTGCCCATAGCTTCACAGCAAAGCTGTAAGGAGCAAAACTGGGAGTGGAATCCACCTGTTTGATCTTCTGGCACTTGGCTCAAGGCTTAGTAGCTTTCAGACAAAGCTTTTGGCAAGGAACGACTGGTTGGGCAGTTTAGGAGGTGGAAACTAAGGAAAGGCAATTAATTAGAGGAAGAGAAATAATGGAGCAGGCTCTAGTTGGAGCCATAGAAAGTAGTGAAGAGAGTTGGCTCTGAAATTTTTATTCAATAACAATTTTTAAACAGCATAAACCGTATCAGGCCAGTGTAGCCACTTGCGTGGCAGCCTGTGACTCATGAAAAGCCAAAGATCTTCCCCAGACTTCAGTGAGCTTCCTGTTGGCTGCAGCAGTCACTTTGGCCTAACTTCTCGGCTGAGGAGACAAACTGGGCACCTAGAGTTTCCACCCCATGAGAAGAGCCAGGCAGCTTCTTGGGAAGGGAAGGTATGAAATCTGCATGTGTTTGAGTAGGCTGGGACTCTAAAGCCTCTTAGCCTTTGACAGAAACTGAGGTTCAGGAAGGTGCCAAACCTCAGCAGGGAACACTTGAGCCAGAGGTAGAGCTGGTAGTAGGATATAGGCCTGCTGACCCTGAGTCCTGGGCTCTGTTGGCCAAATCAGTGCCAAATGTGGGAGACTATATCAATGTCAGCCTTGAAGAGAAAGAGAATACAAGTCTTAATAACCTGGGGATTTGTAGACTCTGCCCCAAGTTATAAGAAAAGCAATAATGAGCCCTTGGCTGATGGGGTTCAGTGGATTGCGCGCGCACATGCCTAGGTTGCAGGCCAGGTCAGGTGCCCAGTGTGGGGGGCGTGCGAGAGTCAACTATACATTGATGTTTCTCTCTTCTTTCTCCCTCCCTTTCTCTAAAAATAAATAAATAAAATATTTTAAAAAAGAAAATTGTAATGGAAGCCTGAGCTTTTGGGGCCAGTATTCTTCAGACTTTTTCAAGTAAGACTATTGTACATAGTGTTCTTAACATGTAGGTACTTCCTCAGTCCATCTCTTTTGATGTGGATTTTTCAGGAACAAGAAGTAATAGACCTATTTTAATAAGACTATAGCTCTTGGCAGACCATGTGAAATATTTCCCCCACAAAAATTTCCCTAAATTAACTCTGAATTATCTCCTTTTATACCATGCAGTTATATATGCATATATGACATATTAGAAATAACTATCTTATAATTTGCTATTTCCCCTCCTGAATTTGAAGATGTTTTTTGGTTTTTCCTTTTCAGGAAGGAGAGTTCAATGTTGAATTTAAAAACACCCACACCCTAAACGAAAAACAACAGGGGTCAACATATGTTGTTAAAGAAAAAAACAACCATAGATAACCACTTTATTTTTACCTTTAATGAATTTAGAAAACGTCATTAAAAATTTAATTTCCAGTTCAAGAATGGCTTAAGAACAAATAAAATTAATTATACTACTTTCCTGAAATCTCAACTTTGAAAAAAGCCTAGTGATATGTTCTGTTGGTTTTTAAATATAAGAGAAGAAATTTCTCTAATGTTCACTTATAAAGTCTCTAGAGACCTCAGTCTAGTAGTGAAAGTTTAATTAATTTCAATTACAAGTAAACAACAAAGTATTCATTTAGAAACTAATAGCTATAAATTTGGGCCCCAGGCAACAACAAAAAAAAAAATCAGAGCCTGATAGTGTCCCTACTCCACTCCTGCTGGTTACTGAATTCTCCTTTATTTCTATTAAATTAATATATACACAATGTTTTTAAATATAAAAAACTTTACAAAATGTACAATGAAAAATAGCATATCTCTTCTCCACAACCTACCTTACAGTCCCCTCCCCAGACGCAACATTATCAATTTTTGCAGTTTTTCTTTTATATTTTCAAATTGTATTCTTACACGGTTCTTTCCTGATCGGTTGACTCTGTTTACTGTGTATTATCTTTTATGTTATAATCCATGTGGGCTGAAAGCTTATCCCACTGAGCTCTCCCATCTGCCATCTTGCCAACCTATATCACAGTTTTCATAAAATTAACAGTCAGCATTTTTGTACTTATGGCTAGTAAAACTTATCTGTTACATAGCCACATAGCATGTAATTAAAACCAGAGAAGTAGGCATTGGTGCTGCTTGCCACCACCGACCCAATAAGCAGAGACAGGGATTTAATGTTCCTTGATGTTTTATTCAGATGCTGGCGAGCTGAGAAGACGGAGGGTTATGTGCCCTAAAAGACCGTCTTACATTTTCTTTCAAGGCAGCCTTTTTTATATAAAAGGAAAAAGTGTGTAGGTAAGGGACTCAGGAAAAATGTTAATCAGATAAAAGCTGCAATCCAGCAATTCCCTTAATGTCCTTTCATCTCCTGGCCAGTGATTCTTTGTCTGTGTCCTGGGCACCTGTGTCCTAAGCAATTCTCTTTATCTGTGTCCTGTGTCCTATGATGTTTCACCCTGGGCAACAATGGCTCAGATACCATCTTGATTGCTTGCAGTCCTCCTGGGGCACAAAGGTGGAATTGTTCGTGGTCTCTGGAGTCAGGGTGGTTTATACCGGCAGTTCCTGAAGCAATAGCTTTTTACATGCATTCATTACCAAGCTTATTAGCTATAATTTAAAACTAAAATTTCCCAACACTTCAGTTTTCCGATCATAATGATAGCATTGCTTTCTTAACAACTTTTTATCGCATCTCTCTTTCCTAGAGAGGCAGTATATTCAAGTGGTTAGGGTAGGGTCTCTGGAGTCAGACCCTGGGATCAGATCCTTGCTTTGCCACTTACTAGGTCTGTGATTTTGAGGATGTTGACTTCATCTCTCTGCACGTCAGTTTCCTCTTCTATAAAATGAGGGGGATTAATAAATTGTACACATGTGAAAGCACTTAGAACAGCACCTAACATGTATTAAGTCTTGGGCGTTATATTCTATTTACATGTTAGCTGTATATCTAATCTTGAATTTCTCCATTTGCTTTTCTACCTGTCATAATTCTTTCCCCTGCATAATCAGCCTGGTCACATAATATCTAGCAATTCCATTTTCCAAAAAGGCCTCCCTGTCTGCCAAAGCTCTCCAAACGGCTCCGGTCCGGATCCCGGTGGACGGTGCAGCACCGCTGCCATCCTGGCAGACCCCCTTGCCACTTTCTTCTGTTGGACATCTGGGTTTCTGGAGTCCTCTTTCTCTCTTTACTCCCTACTTTTGGTAAGCACATCAGCAGCTTCCAGACTCTAGGACCCCTGCTTTTAGCCCTATAGTGACCTTCCTTGAGATGCCAACTTAAAACTTACTCATCTTCCTTTTTAACACAAATCCTTCCATGAGTCTCGTCCTAGATCTAATTCTACTCACCTACTGTCGCCTTGATTTTCTGTCTCCCAAACATTTTCAATCTCTCCTTTTAAAGGGGAGGGGAAATTTGCCCCTCTTAGTTCTTCTGGATGATCTAGTAGTCAAACTGACATGAGACAGATTAACAGGGGACTTTATTATGTACACACAGGGGTTCCATAAGAATATGGGACCTGAAGGCAAATGGGGCAGTTGAGGCTTATATGCCACTTTCAGCTAAGAAGAAAGGGTGGTGGTCATTTTCCCTCAGAGGGAAAGTAGCACTGGCTAGTGTGGCCCTGTGTACTGAGCACCGGCCTGCGAACTGAAGGGTCCTCAGTTTGATTCCTGGTCAGGGCACCTGCCTGGGTTGCAGGCGAGGC